ATTTTTTGATGATAATAAGCTAAACTTTATTATTAAATGTTCGAGTTAAAATTAAAAATACATAAAAATTGACAATTTTATTCAAATTATAATATGAATATTAAAAATTATATTGGTTCTTATTTAAAAAAAAAAAGTATAGCATATGTTTTTTTATTTAAAATCAAAATGTAGAAATAAAGAGGTAAAAAGTTAATTATTTTGAAGAAAAAAAAAAACATCACATATAGAAAAAAAAAAACCAAAAAATTAAAAAAAATTTATATCAAAAATCAAAGAATTGACTTTTTTCAATAAGTTAGTTTAGTTCAATTGTAATTTGCAAGAAATTAGTATGACGAGCAACGGTGATATGAAAGTTTTGTTAGAATATTTCACAACAATGATTGATAAGTTGTCAATCTTTTGTGAAAAATTTAAAATCTTGGCTTATTTTTTTTTTTTTCATATTCTCTTTCTTTCTTTACAAAAAAAAAAGTAAGAAAAAAAAAAGAAAGGAAGAATGAAGATAGGTCTAAATGTTAATAATTATTTAAATTAATTAAGCTATAAGTTATTTATTAATTTTATAGAAATTTTTTGATAAACCTAAACCTAACATTTGAAACTTACAATAATAAAAAAAAACGATAGATTTATCTAAAAAATTTTTTTAATAATAATTTACAAGAATCATTCATGCATGAATTTCTCTACAGAAAGGATAAATATGGTAAGAAATTTTGGAAATGACAAAAAAAAAAGAAAAGAAAAGAAAATTACGTTCGTTGGAAAATGGAAAAAGATAAAAATTTGATTTAAAAGAAGCTTTAAAACATTGTAAAATTATAATTTTTCGAAAAATAAATTCGATCTAATTAGATATCATAGCTGATAATAGTAATATTAAAGTTTGAAATTTTTGCGAAAAAATATTGAAAAATGAATTTATTTGTTTAAATTATTAAATAATTTGTTAAATAATTTATAAATGATTTGAAATGGAAATTATTTGTGTCTAGAATTTACTACAAAATTCTATAAAGCACATAAAATGCTTAAAATCTATTATTCAAAACGTATTTGTTATCAATTCAACTTCTACATTCAATGGTTATCGTTTGCTTATCAATAATTTTATGGCCCATTAAATAGCATAAACCATATTTGCTAGCAGAAAGCTGTAACAAATATGCATTATTATTCTTAAAATATAAAAATTATCGATTTGTCAAAAATTTTTCTTTTCCTATTAAAAGTTATTATTTTTGCATTTATATGACAATAAGATATTTCAAAATATTTGAAAAGCTAAATCTCTTTATTTTTTTTTTTCTCTCTCTCTTTTGATAATTTGAAATTACAATAAATTCTTTTCTCCCATTAATAAATTTACGTGAATTAATTCTTATATTTATAAATGACAGAATTTTATTGAAGTTTCTTTTTTTTTTTTTTTTTTGGTAAAAAAATTAGTCTTCAATGATCGAATTTAAAATGGAAAAAATTTTTGGTAAAATATAAAAATTTATTTTTACCTGGTAATGATTAAAATATTACATATATATATAATAATTAATCAATTATTATACATTTAAATAATTTTTAGTGCAAGTGCAAATTAAATTGCATTTGTTCCTTTTTTTTCCGTTTTACTTATTTTACTTAATATTAATTAATTATAATAAGAAAGTAGTTAACCAAAAAGATTATAGAGGAAAGAAAGAAATATACAATCAAATTTTACGATAATTTTACAGCGCTAATTTTTGGGTAATTATAAAACAGAATATGAAATTCTAAAATTAATAGATTAATAAAAGCATTAATTACATATCAAACTTAGGATGAGTGACAATTTAATAACGATAACAATTATTTACTGATAGTTTCCGATGCATTGATTTTAAAGCATCTAGATATCCTACATATCGTATATTGTTGGATACGGTATCGTTTGAAATAAAAAAATAAAAATTACGGTATCGTTTGAAATAAAAAAAGATAAAATTTAGTGCAATTAATTTGTAAGAAATATCGTTCATAATTAATCTCATTGTATGGTACTGTACATACTTGGTATACTGTGTTCATATATTCGCGTGTTCACAGGTATACTGTACGTCGTGATGGTATACTGTGCGGATCGATGGCATACTGTACAGAGTAATCTACGAGATATTTTGTGTTAAATTCATCACTATCATTAATAATAACAATAAATATCACTAGTGATCATTAATAATCATTTTTATTGTAATGATAATAATAATTACTCTTATCATCATCATTATTACTGTAATGATAGCAATAATAATTTACTATTGTTATCAATCACCATCTTAATAATCACTATCATTTTCCATGCTAACAATCATCATCTTTCATCCTCATAATCATCATTTTCTTTTTTCTCCTAACTTATGACAAAAGAAAAAAAAAGAAGGAAAATGTTTCGTTTTTTTTTTTTTCGTTCATGTAGTAATATTAAAAAAAGTATTGCTTAAAAAAAAATGGAAAAAAAAAAGAAAATGACAAAACGAAAAAAAAAACTCTACCAGAATTCATCTTTTCATTTTTATTGCAAATATTTGCGATTGAAAAGAGTTAAGTACAATGGAAAAAAAAATGATAAAAAAAAAAAGAAAGGATAAGAAAAGTGAAAGAAAAGGAAATATATTGAAATACATATATGTTTTTTTTTTTTTTTTTTTAAATGGAAAAAAGAATGATGGAATGGAGATTGTAAATATACAGGATGAAAAGTTATGCTAAAATTTTCAAACTTTCTTTTACTTATTTTCTTAGAAAAGACAGAGAAGAAATTGTTTTAGATGATATGACAAGATATGAAATGAAAAGAATTTGATGCATTGAAAAAATGAAGTAATGGTAGGATAAAAAGAAGATTAAAATAATGTATGAGATGAATAGGTGACATAAGAAATAAAAAAAAGAAAAAGGAAAAATGAAGAATGAAGACATAGAGAAAAAGTATCAATCCAGCAAATATGAACTTGTAAATTTTACTCAGACATAGCTTTAAGAAAGTAAGCAAACAAAATTTTTATTTACATAAATGACAAATCATTTTCTATCGTCGTTTTGATTTTCACTTTACTACGATATGTTCAACAGTTAGTTAGTTTGTATAATTTTTTTTTTTTGATAATGAAAATTTTCGTTGTGTAGAAAAATGCTAGTTTTCCAGAAAAAAAAAAGCAAAAAGAGGAGAAAAAGACGAAAAGAAAAGTAAAGATTAGAATTTTAGGAAATTTAAGAATTTTTAAACAAAATGTACGAGAAAGAGTAATAAAATATCTTTTTGATGATACAATTTATGGAAAAAGTGTTAAAATGCCTTATACGATAGATTTGTTTAACAAATAATTCTTAAATTTCAGTACTAAATAGTAAATTAATTCCTAAAAGAAAATAAATAAAATTTAATTAAATTTATTAATTGCAAATTTTCTAGTTCTTCTTTATGAAGGTTGTGCCATTTTAAGATTAAACGAAATGAAAGCATAGTTTCTAAGTTTAATATATTCATCAGAGGAATATTATTTTGCGGAATTCTTATCAAAAAAGAGATGTGCAGTGATAATCAGAGAATTTTGAATGCACAAGCTTTTAACTTTACTCAAAATTGAAATTTTAAATTTTAGAATTTTAAGTTTCAAATATAGTCAATGATTATGAAAGTTGCTCTATTGACAAATACGACAAATTTACTGCTTCACAAATTTTTAAAGGTCTTTAAAAATACAAAAATAAATTAGATGAATTAACACTTCATTTAATTGTTTTGGTCTTTAAACTCTCTAAAATCTGATCCATAAGATTTATAACTTTTGTCAAAATATCGGAAATAGATTCTGATAGAATTGTATCCGTCTCTTTTTACTTTAGAAAAAAAAATTCTTTACCGATTTATATTCATTTCTTTGATAAAAATTTTATTGAATGATGTTTTAGATTAAATGTAGACTAAATTCTGTAGATTTTTACTGCATTAAAAAAAACAAAACGAAAAAAAAAAGAAATAATTAAGCTGCATGAAGCATTCAACAACTTGTTATAGCTGATTATAACATTAAAATTTAATTGAATTTACAGAAAACCAAACTGAAATAATTTTTACATAGTATCTCGATAGTGAACATACAGTTCAAAAATTTCCCTTCAAATCATTTATATTAATTTTTATAATTTGATTGAAAGGAAAAATTTTGAGCTTACAATTTCACTTTGATATTAAAGAATAGGACATGACAATACAATAATATACGTTAAGCAACAAACATGGAAAAATGTATTAATAAATAATTGATGAAATGTTAAAAAAAACCCGTACAAAAATTTGAACACTCTGAAATTTATCTAAAAATGCACATATAAACGTGAAAAAAATGTTTGAATTAATTAGAAGAGAATCCAGAAAAGAAATCTGATATATTTTCTTTTATTACTTCTTTGCAAAAATGAGAAAAACACTGACATTTTTAAAATTATTACTGTTCGATAAAGCATTTCGCAGCTGTAACGTATTTATTTTACCATAAAAAGGTATCAAGGAAATTAAATTTTTTTTAAAGCAAAATTCAACTAAATTTATAGCTGCTAATTAGTTGATAAATTCACAGAATGAGTATTTCCTACGTAATCAATTATTTCAAGCATTCCACTTAAACATAATTTCTATGAAAAATAAATTTTCATCACCGGACAGTCATTTTATTTTAACCTAACTTCTGGACTGTCAGACAATATTAATATCAGTTGAAGATAACATTTAATGTCGAAATTTCACAATATAAAACAAATATTAAGTTGATAAGTTTATCACTACTAACAATTTTTTGCTTTCACTTAATATTTACAAAAGTAATATATTATGGGAATAAGTCTAAGCACGAGAAGATAGAAATATTACAAATCTACTAGAAATAGAAATATTTAACATTTAAATTTTCACGTCCTCAATCAATTAACATATTTTAACTTTATTCTAGTTCTATCTAAAATGATGATGGTATTGTGAATAATGATAGATCAAGAGGAGTATTGTGACTGGAATCAAAATCTACTAAATACTTTGAGCACAGACAATGTATCAAGATATTCCGGTTTTGTTTGGTTAAATTCTCAATATTACCCATTGCTAAAGTTTTTGGGCAGTCCTTAGTTAATGATATTCGTTCTAACGGTGTTGCTGCTAACCAAACATCTACTGCTAGTTCTGCATCGTCATCATTTATCAGATTAGGATGTCGTGCACGAAGGATTGATTTTAGTAAATTGTTAGCACGATTTGTAGCAAGACGTTCTTCACTTGTACCCTCTGTCGTTATGATCATTTCATCTTGAGTACGTCTGATTAACACTAAAGGACCATTATATGCAGTCAACTGAAATACTAAGGATGAAATTTTCATTTCAAATTGAAGTATTCAGTTTCAGCAAGAAATTAAGTCTTTTGCAAAGAAAAAGAAAAAAAGAAAAAAAAAAATGTAAAGAAAAATAAATAAATCTAAAAGTAGCACTCTTCTGAGAAACTCAAGTAAATTATTATCGTTCAAAATAAGTGGAAGCAAAATAAACTAACTTAATTAGTTCAGTTGTTTAACTTTTCTTTTTTCAAATTAAAATCAGGTACTCCTAGAAACTTTCTTATCAAAGCATGAATACCTAAACAACATTACTGACTAAGATGTTTATCAGTTTTATCTCAGTTACCAGGATTTATCGTATTCATAGATTTTATTAATAGCCAGTTATTAAATCTGATCAAAAATAAGTTTATGAGATTTATGCTTGATGAAGAATCAAAACACTCGTGGATTATTATCATTATGTTATACGCTAATATACGATAAAATCATACATTCCTGGTTTTAATTGAGAATCAAAATACTAACCTGCATAGCGATCGGCATGTCAAAGTATGTCCGAACGATGAATTCGACTAATGGTGCCCATGATCTCGGCATTTTAGCCTCGGCAAGAGGTAAGAGATCATCAAATGTTGCATCCAATATCAGAGCCGAAAATAAAAAATGCAAAATATTAAAAATTACGATTTATCATTGTTTTAATTTTAAATGTTTCGGTGTTATGTGTAAAACTTCCATACTCATAACTCCTTACATTAGTAATAAGTTTACAGTGTAACGTTAAAAATTATGCACATGAAAGAGAAATATGTATACTAATTTATTAATATAATATTTCGAGTAATCTTCTGGAAATTAATTTTTAAAACAAAAATCAATTAAAATTTAACGGAATCAAACAGTACTTTGATATTTGGATAATTAGCAGCAGCCCATGTTGCTGGAAATCCACCAATTGACCATGCATAGATAACAATTTGCTCTTCCTCAAAACCTAACTTATGTATTGCATATTGAATAACAGCATCAATTGATGCAACTGTTTGTTTCGGTGTTGGCAAACCGCTACTTTCACCAAATCCTAAAGCTTTTGTAAAATAATTCAGGTAAACATTAACAAAATTAGGTTCAAAGATATAACCATTACTTCTAAAATATATTTAAAGTTCTCTCAGTACTTGACATATTCCGAATATTCCAAAATTTTGTATAAGAAAAAAAAAAACTTTGTTAAAGGTTTTGATATTCAAAAAGCATGTAGTTAAAAATGTAAACGGGATGAACTAGTAATGAGTCTTATACAGGTCTTTTTTTTTATGTATCTATATATCTATGTGATGTAAATAATGGTAAAATACAATAACAATTATCACAATTAAATTATTTTTTACTATTAAATTTTTTTTTTTTTAGAAAAAATTAACGAATTTTTAATTTAAGAAAAGGTATCAACCAGGTTGATTCCATCCAAGCACAGAATAACTTAGTGTAAGTGGTGTTGGCATAATACCAGTTTCATAAAATCCAGCATTTCCCTCACATGTTACAACCAGAATATCACCATTTTCTCCCTGTTCTCGACGATCAACAAACATACTATCTACTCGATTACCTTCCCTTGTCATTAAAACACCTCGCATAGCACCCTTAACAATGAAAATCAATTAAAATTAGATAAAGTGAAAAAAAAAAAAAACTCAAAAAATACTGATATCATCATAGTAAAATTAATTGTACAGTGAAGAATAACAGTATTGAATGAGCAATTAAAAAATTTCAATGAAGGAAGTGGTGAAAAAGAAATATTAATTTATACTAATCAAAAAAATTATCTTAAACTAACCTTTTCGATCACAAGTTTCCTTCGATTCTCAATCAAAAATGATTGAATTAATTTATTCAATAATGCTGCTGAACCAGGATAAACAAGCACACGCGCAAAACTATAAGCAATATTGTATGATAGACGATCACGTAACGCGGTGTATAATATATTTCCAGTAGCTGTAAATCTTCTTGGTGTTTCGAAATATTTTCGCGATTCTTTACGAGCACGAAAATCAATTGGTGCAGCAAATAACTAAAAGTTGAAATCACAAATGCAATTTTAAATTAGTGTTTTTTCTTTTTTTTTTAATATTCAACAATTCCTGTTTTCAAAATGGAATAAAAATTCCTGCAAAGCAGAAAAAAAAAAGGTTTTTTTTTTTGAATTTCAGATTGATATATGAAAAAAAAAAGAAATTATAAATTGATCGATACCTCGTAATCATATCCTACTAATAGTGAACTCGCATTTTGACCATGCAAATGAGCTTTAAATAATGTATCAGCAAATCGACGATATTCTGGATTAAATATTCTTCCGATAGTTCTCATACCAATCGCTATTACATAATATGTTACCGTAAATTTTGCTAACATCATAAAGTTTGTTCCATTCAATAATGAACGATTATAAGCAATCTAAAATTTGAAAGAAATAATAATTCGCATAGTTTTTGATAAATTCCACCTTTTTTTTTTCAAAGTCTAATTTTTCAATATTTTAATATATCATCTATCAGTTATTTCTAATAATATGACAATGTTTACTATAAGAAAGTGAAATATAAAACAATACTCGAGTTAAGTAATATAAATTAATGGGCTTATTATGAACAAGAAAATACAAAAAAGAAAAAAACAGAAAATCACAGAATAAGAAAAAAGTGGAGAAGACAAAAGAAACAATAAAATCTCTCGTTAGAAATAAGTACGACATAAATTTAATTAGTATCTTGAACTAAGTATCGAAAAATTATTAGGGAGTTTTCTTTTCTTTTTTTTGAGAATTCTTGACAAAAATAACCTTCAAGAAAAAATAAGAATGGAAAAACTTTGTTGTATTCTTATTTGAGAAATTTTTTGGCAATAAAACTATTTCCACAGCATTGTCTTTTTTCTTTTCTCGAAAATTCTTCAAATTTATATACAATTTTTGTATATAAAAACTACAAATTTATTGGCGTTAACTAAATTTTAAATGTAATAATAACATACCAAAAGAAGAAATGGTGAAACCACTGAACATACTGTATAACATCCATTCATAACTGTTAACATTGTTTCACTCACATATTCCAATGAATTACTCGGGAAAACTGTGTTATGACGACGAATGTATGCATACACTTTTGGACCTCTTATTAAGCTTAATAGCATCTCAGCCGGTGTCATTCTCAAACTAATTATTGAAATTTAAATTTAAATATTTAACTACTAGGATAGATTCCATAAAAATTAAATAATTATACAGCATTTATCTTTTAAGTAATGCCACAACTATTATTTGCGACGTTGAAAAAAGTACTTCAAGAAATATCGTCAGTATCGTCGAACATTGTATGAACTGAATTCAGCAACAAATCTTATGGATCAGTGAAAGATCATTCAAATCTTTCAAATTTAAATTCCGGAATTGTATCATACGAGTGTAAACGTGAAACAATTATGCCACTAAATATACAGTACATTTATTTTTACAAATGAAAAGAATGGACAATAAACAAAAAATCATATAATCACTAGGTGTTCTCTTTCTTCCGTTTTGTTGATGAACTCGAATCATCAGTCTTCTCAATTTCTGATTTTCCTATACTTTGCTTTTCAGGTACCGTAGAAACTTCGTCAGTTTGTACTACTTCGTTATTCTCCTTATCGGTAACCTGTTTCGATATCTCATCCTTGTTTTCCACAGTTGAACTCAACTCCGAATCATCTCCATCAGCTTCACTTTCTGTACCACTTTCTTCATTTTTCTTTTTTAAGCTCTTCATCTTTTCTTTGTAACGTTGCCTAAAATAACAGTGAAATTTTAATAATCGAGTTTATTTTCAAATGAATTTTTTTGTAATGACCAAATTTGAATCGAACGGTACATTGCAAACAGTGGAAATTATGCAGTAACGAATTATGATGACATGACATGTATTGACCCACCTTATGCAGAAATAAGTTAATTGACCATAAAACCAACCGACATGATAATTAATAACATCAGTCTCTTTTATTAATAAAATTAAAAATTAGAAAACAATAATCAAAATACATATGACCTAAAAAAAATGCTTTTACCTTTTTAACCGTTTTTTAGCTGTTTTTTTTTCTTCCTCCTCCGCCCGTCTTCTTCTTTCAGCCAAAAATTTCTCATCCAGTTCTTCTTGCAAGGCTTTATTATTCATATAATCCAACCTGTCAAAAGCAATATATTTTAACTAAATATATTCTGTTTATATTGAAAAACATTTCCACCATTACGCATAAAGAAGGCTATAAAATCAAAAAAAGACTGTCTAACAATACACTTAACATCGCCAAGTTAATTTTAATTTTTATAAATCTGGAAAGAAAATACCGATCCATTTCTCGTTTTCGATTGTTCCGAAAAATGTGAAATTCTGCACTTCCAGCAGCGGCTGATGAACCAACAACATTACGGACGAAATCTGGCGGCGGTCGTGGCTTCCGACCATCTCGTCGTTGTGGTATAGACACTGGTTTTTCCTGTCATTGTAACTCACCATCATATACAATAAAGTCATTTATTGTAGCTCACTATCACATACAATAAAGATGCTTGTCAAAAGATAAAGAACAAACTAATTGATTAGAGAACGGGAGAGAAGTGGGGTCTAGTAGAAGAGAAAACAAAGATCAACGAATCGAATTAAAGAGGAAAATTGAAATCAACAAGCATACAATATTTTTCTGCAATCTTTCCAATCTCATTCGCATCAAATCATAAGCAGTTCGAGCTTTTTGCTCTTCTTCCTGCTCCTTGTCTTCATGTGGCATCTAAAATATGAAATACTGTTATACAAATTCCTCACACTTTTATCATTTGAAAAGTTGCATAGCTAAAAAACTATAGCTAAAATACAAAACCATAGCTAAAATATAATTCATGAATGACATAAAGCGATTTATATTTTTCACATGTGTAATTTACACTTGAAAGGCAATTCCTATTTTCATACATATAGCTTCTGAGAATACAAAAATAAAAAATAAAAAAAAATAACTTCTTATGAAGTAACTTCCACATTCCTCAAACTTCATTTTTATTTACGTAAACTTCATATGTACAGCATAAATCTTTGTGAACTACAACCACATAAAAATCTGATATACTGCTAATAGTTTCGTATTTTGATAATTTCACCTTTCCATATATAGTGACTAAAATAAAATAATCTTATGGTATTCAAAATATGTAGAAAAGATTTAATGAAATGAGATATTAAAGTATCAATTTCTCAGAGTTAATAAATAATTAACCTAATGGAAGCATAATCTAATGAACTGATTATTTTGTTATTGCAAATGGAATAATACAGTGGAAATAATAATTCATCAAATAAACATGTGAACAGATAAATGAATGACATGTTAATATGTAAACAGGTAAATAAACGTAATGAACAATACGCCACACACGTGAACAGATAAATAGATAACACGCTTGACACGTAGACAGGCAAATATAACGTTTCTAGCATTTAACTCAAGAAGTAATCGAGAAAATGGCCATAATTCAAAAGCTTGTAGCATTACGTCCCTTAACCCATTCGGAATCTCTTACTAGCTTTCTCTCTCTCTCTCTCTTTCTCACCCTTACACCAAATGCACTGTCAGTCTTCTTTTTTCATCCTTTGTTTCAATCTACCATTATATTTCATTTTTCATCAATCTTTGTTCTCTCTTGATTTTCTATTCTCTCTCAACATTCAATTTCTTAAATTGCACTCCCTGCTAATAATGTTATTTCATTATGTTTTTCAAAATACAATATGAATGATGTAAATTTGCGTGTGATTTCCGCGTTAAATCTGTGTATCTTTCACGCAAATTTACGTGTATACGTCATCTGTACATCATTTGTCGTATACATGAAAGTATAAACTTTTATAATTGCTTACTTTATCTTTTCTGGTTATTCATTTTCGAGTATATTGTAATGATTGTAGCATTGCTGATACATATTTTGGAATAATATTTTATGTGCTTCAATAAATAATAAAAGAAATATCATAGTATGCTTACGTGTAATACTCTACGTGTATTAACTTATGATAAGAGAAATATGATACGTATATTAAATGTGAAGACTAAAAAATATAAAATGTAATGATTAAAAATATAGCATCTTTGGCTCAGTTTCTGATTGATTGATTTGATAGGGAATGTTCTATATTATCATAAAATCATAATATCAATGCTTTTGCTATTTTATGCTAACTCTCTAATTTTAATTTTTTTGTTGAATAAATACGTGTATCAATAATCGATGAAGAATATTTTGTACTTCATCCTTAATCAAATTCCTGGATTGTCTTTAATTTATATTTAACTAGGTGGTAAATTAGTTATATCTGACTATAATTTCTATTTACATGTTTTTTTTTCTTGTTTGAGAGAATTTCTGCTACTATTGGAAACCTCACTTATTGAATTCAACTTCAAAGGTGTACCACAAAATGAGTCAGAAACGGTCTAAGCAAAGGAAAGATGATCATGGGGTTTGTGTTTGTCTTTTCTTTTTTTTTTTTCTCATTTTTTTCGAAATCTGATTTTTCTCTGAGGTTCAAAATTTTGTTCACATATCAATTTTATTCATGAATATTCCGAACTTGAACAAAATGTTGATACATCTGCGTTTTTTTTTCTCGTTCCAAGATTTAATGAGATAATTCAAGTATTTAGAAAACTTATTAAATTGTGTTAAAGTGTTTTATCAATACTATTTTTAAATAGTAGTATTACATTTGTAAAATTGTATTATTGCTATTTAAATATCCTTGTTAATCAATGTTGAGAAAAGAATTTACAAAAAATTGAATTAAATAGTATAGTAAATTAATAATGATATAGTGAAAAAATGAGGAATAAAACAGAAAAAAAAATAATCGATAAGAAGCGTAGATGAATTATTAGATTCTCTTCCTGAATTTAATCTTTACCAAGTCGGAATAACTCGCTTAATTATTGATAAAATGCCGTTATGAATATTTCATTTGAAAATAACACTCCTCGAATAACTTTTGGAAAATAGAGGACAATAAAAATGGTATATTAAAATTGAGTTCAAAAATCATACAACCTTATTTTCTACTAGTTAAATATATATATATTGAATTAGTTCCTCCTTTGTCATATATTTTTTCCCATATTATTTCTGTTCTTTTGTTACAGCTTATCTTCAAATATTTTAATTCTTTTTCAGGATCAGCAGTATGTCGTGGAAAAAATTATAGACAAACGAGTTCGAAATGGAGTTATTGAGTATTATTTGAGTTGGAAAGGGTTTCCATCATCGGAGAATACTTGGGAACCAGAAGAAAATCTTGATTGTCCAGATTTAATCCAGGTTTTAATTTATTTTTGTTGTAATAAACGAAGCGAAAGGAGACCATGATATGAGCTGAGCTTTGGAAGCATTTAATTTCTCTCAAAAATTTCTTCACAGGCATTTGAAATTCAAGAGAAGCGGGCGAAAGAACAGAAACGAACGAAAGATCTGGAAAAAGTGGGGCGAAACTTGTTTGATCGAGGTGTGTAAAACTTTTATTTATTTACGTCTTCAATTACACAACTTTCTTATAGTTTGTTAAATATTAAATGGTCTTTCAGTAATTGCATATAAACTGATATTTAAATTTGTCCATTATCTCATCAAAATATCAATTTTTTGTTACTCGCAAACAGTTGCACTTTCTATGTTATGACATTGCTCTATATCTTTGCCTTGTTTTTTGATATTGTGGAAGATCAATAGAAATCCTATAACATTAACTTCTATGCAAGTTCTAACCGGTAAGGTTCTAAATTATCATTCCAAAATGTGCAAACAATATTCAGGGATATTTTATTTATTTTTTTGTAACTTGTAACTCTTTCCCATCCTTTATATATTGTTCATAAACGTGAAATGTTCACTAAGTAATATGTAAGTTTGGATAATGATCTGAATGATAAATTTTGGAATATTTAGCAACTTATCTGAATTAAAATCATTTTCATTTTTATTTGATCGTCATTCGGCCTATTATTAGGTTTGGAGCCAGAACGAATTGTTGGTGCTACAAATAGCGGTGGAGAATTGGAATTGCTGATAAAATGGAAAGGAAGTGAAATGGCTGACTTAGTTCCTGCAAAACTTGCGAATGAAAAATGCCCAC